TCTCTCTCTCTCTCCTGCCATACTCGTTGATGTGCCTCTCGCCCGGCTGGGTGCAGTGCGGACGTGCTGTGGTGGTCGTGTTTAACAAGACTCCCGTCATCGGAGTTTCGACGGACATCCTTCGGGGGCATGGTTATTTTCTTTCCCTATGAGCTAGGTGAAAGCATTTGCTTAATTTTTTTTTGTTGTGGCCTGCAGGGCATTTGCCGGTCGTGATGGCCATGTCGGAGTTAATTATCCTGGGTGATTGGCGTGAGCGCATGGCATATCCTTTCCCCCCATGCGCGCTGCACGTCTCCGGCAGTGGAAACTCCACTATTATTGACGGTGCGACAAGAGACGAGATGGAGTGTGATCCTTGGATGAAGGTCCCCCCGTTCACTGATGCTCCCCTAGACTCGTGGAAGGAGCTTGAATGGGACATAATGCTCAGGGAGTGTCCGTGGGCGGACGACTACAAGTTCGCTAACATGTGCGAGTTTGGGAGTTTCATTCCCGTGCCTAGAGTTGTGTTGGGTTCAGTTCGGTGCCGTTGCTTGAGTGCAAAGCTGAATATTCGTCGTCATCAAAATGTGTTGGCCTGCAGTGTCGTGACTGCTTCGCCGCGCACATGGTCCCGCTCGTGAAACACGAGTTTCTTGCCTGTGCACGACATTCCGAGTTCCTCGATCAGTACCCGTTGCGCTCTCCAGGGCTGCGGCCTCGAGCAGTTTCCTACTGTTGCGTTAGATTGCATCTCGGAAAGCTATTCTTATCTAGGGTCCTTTGCATCGCGTGTTCGAATCGGAGTAGGACCTTGACTGATGCTGTGGTCTACGTGTCTAGGAATGAGTTGCAACTCGGGAGAGACATTACCGGTTTGGTCACAATAGAATACGAAGGGACATGGGATTTGGTAATCGGGGGTAAGGTGGACGATGTGGACGCTTGGCGTGAGGTTGAAGCTCAAGCATCCTCTGTACGGGATGCTATAGGGAGGTCTCTGGCCGGAAGGACCGGGTTCATTCGCATGAAATATATTTCTATGTTCGCGGAAGATGCTCCAGTCGATGCGCCGCAGTGTCTTACGTTCGGGTCGCCTCTTTGAACTTTGAATGAACGCATGTACACAYCGGCCTGTCGKCATCGGTAGAASTGAAAGTTMTGAACGGATGTTACACGCCGATTTCCTTATACATTACACACATGAGCTCATGGTGTGCGCACCTATCTCTCCATCTAAGTGCGAGTTCACTCGCACTTGYTGTGTGCACCACGAGCATTCCACTTCAGCGGTGTGACCACCTGTCTCTCCATCTAACTGCGAGTTCACTCGCACTTGTGCTATGAACCCCGAGCAATCCGCTTGAGTGAATGTCTTGACGACTGCGTGTGGGCGTGGCCACGGCAGTTCCCGTTTGCCAACTATGTTCATACACGTTGCCGTGCCCGTGTGTATCGTTTGGTATGTGCGCGTGGTGTGTAGGGTGCGTAATGGAGGCGACCTTCTCGACACCACGAATCTTTGAGTCAATCTTCTCGACACCACAAACCATGAGTCCCGAAACGTATATTCGCTTGGCAGAACCGTTTCCTCCTTGCGCGAGATCAGTGCGGCATTTCAACGGTGTGACTACGATCCACGGAGCGACCGCAGAGGACTTCGACGAGGACCCCTGGATGACCGTCGTCCCATGCATGGACGGGCATATTGACGATTGGTGCGATGAGAATTGGGCCACGATGGAGAGTCGCTGCCCTTGGGCAAGCCAGTACAAATTCGCCAACATGTTGGAGTTCGGGAACCTCATCCCGCTGTCTGACGCTGTCCTCGGACACAAGTCCCTGAACCATATGCGCAGAGCACTGGGCTGCATTAGCCGCCATTTCAGCCGCCTCGAGTGCCACTACGTCAGGTCGTCGCCACGAACTTGGGGAGGCTCGCGGAAACAAGAGTTGGTGAACTGCGCTCGTCACTGCTCGTTCCTGGACCAGTACCCGCTCCGGTGCCCCGGGAATTCTCCACAAGTTGTGTCATACTGTTGTGTGCGATTGAAAGTGTCCGGGTCTGATTTCGCCAGAGTTCTATGTGTCGCTGCGTCGAACAAGAGCAGGAAACTCGTCGATGCAGTTGTGTTTGTATCACGCAACGAGGTGGTAATTGAGGGGTCCAATTTCGTGCCGACGCGCGGGCCTGAACGTGTAGATGGGTGGCAAGATTTGGTTATAGCAGGGCCGGTCCGAAACTTTTCGTTGCATCATGAGGTCGAGGAGAAAGTGTCTGATATACGGGACTGTATAGGGAATTCCTTAGCACGACCGGGAGTGTTTGTCAGGATGAAATACATGTCCGTCTTTTCGAAGAGTGCATCAGTCGACGAACCGCAGATCCGTGCATACGGATCATCAATGAATGCTTTGTATGGCTTCGGTACACGACCTCGTCCTTGGGGAACCCCGAATGTCACTAGATCTGGACGTGTGGTCAGACTTAAGTGAGAGTTCACTCGCACTTTGCTTAAGTGAGGGTTAGCTCGCACGTAAGTGAGAGTTCACTCGCACTTTGATTAAGTGATGAGCTTGTCGATATATCGTGCGGGCGTGACGGTTGAGTGTTGGCCGCACCAGGGGATTTATCATTGGACAACTTTATTTACGACGGTCTACACGTACGTTTGTGTCGTTTGTGTGTCCGTGATGTGTAGGGAGCGTAATGTCGTCGAGACCTTCGACAAGCGTCAACATCAGTCCCGAGACGCACATGCGCTTGAGTCCCGAGAAGCACATGCGCTTGGCAAAACCGTTTTCACCTTGTGCGACATCGGTGTGGCATCATGACGGTCAAACGTGGATCGACGAAGCAGCCAAGGATGACTTCGACGAGGACCCATGGATGCCCGTCAAACCGTGCATGAACCGGCATCTCGACGAATGGAACGATAATGATTGGAAGGCATGGAGCGTGCCTGCCCTTGGGCAAGCCATTACAAGTTTGCCAACATGTTAGAGTTCGGGAGCCTCATTGCACTGCCTAGTGGTGTCCTCCAGCGAAAGACCCTGGATGATAAGGGTAAACCGATCCGCTACCGTACTAGCTTCAGACGTCGCCTCGGCTGCGAGTACATCACATCTTCGCCACGAACTTGGGGAAGTTCGCAGAAGCAAGAGTTGGTGGAATGCGCTCGTCATTGTTCATTTTTGGAATACTACCCACCCCGTTGCCCAGGGACTTCTCCACAAGCTCTATCGTACTGTTGTGTGCGGTTGACGGATGACGGATGTCCTTTCGCCAGAGTACTATGTGTGGCTTCTTCAAGCAAAAGTAGGAAACTTGTGGATGTGGTTGTGCTTGTGTCATGCAACGAGATGGTGCTTCAGGGATCCAAGTTCAAGGCGGTCATGTCTCGCCCAGATGTAGATGGGCGGTCAGACTTGGTGAGAGTAGGTCAGGTAAGAGTTTTTTTGTCATTGTGGCGTGACGTGGAAGAGAAAGTGTATGAAATATGTGACTGTATAGGGAATTCCTTAGCACGACGAGGAGGGTTTGTCAGGATGAAATACATGTCCGTGTTTTCGGAGACTGCAACGGTCCACGAACCGCAGAGCCACGTATATGGATCATCTATGAATGCCATGTATGGCTTTGGTTCACGACCTCGTCCGCGAGAAACCTTATATGTCACAAGGTCCGGACGGGTTGTCAGACCTTGTGTTTAAGGGAAAACATGTTGTGTGTGGTTGACTGATGACCGGTGTCCTTTCGCGAGAGTGCTATGTATGGCTTCTTCAAACAAAAGTAGAAAACTCGTGGATGCAGTTGTGCTCGTGGCACGGAACGAGATGGTACTTCAGGGATCCAAGTTCAAGCCTGTGATGTCTCCCCCCAATGTAGATGGGCGGTCAGATTTCGTTAGAGCAGGTCGGGTCAGATGTTTATCATTGTGGCATGAGGTGGAAGAGAAAGTGTCCGACATACGAGACTGTATAGGGAATTCCTTAGCACGATCAGGAGGGTTTGTCAGGATGAAATACATGTCCGTGTTTTCGGAGAATGCGACTGTCCACGAACTGCAGAGCCACGTATATGGATCATCTATGAATGCCATGTATGGTTTCGGTTCACCACCTCGTCCGCGAGAAACCCCGTGTGTCACAAGATACAGACGTGTGGTCAGACCTTGTGTTTAAGGGCGATTGTAATTCTAATGAACTCTTCTGGTTTTACAACTATCTTGTGCTGTGTTGCGATGTTATGTCGTCTTGCGATGTCGTGTTGTGTACTTCTATGACCTTCTGTTTAAGGGAAAACATGTTAAAATACAATCTTGTGAAACATGATGTGCATGTGCACCTTGAAATGCAAACAATCACACGTTGCCTCTCGCACCTATTGCGACTATTACCTCTCGCACCTCTATCTACTACTTCATACACGTTGCCTCTCGCACCTATTGCAACGCCTCTCACACCCCTATCTACTACTTGTTTTTTGCTTCGAACGTTTTTCCGGAAACAACCGCTGCCTACTTTGCAATGTGTGGTTCAGTGGTTTGAACATTTCTCGCAACTCTGCATGCGCTGTTTCCATTTACGAAAGGTGCAGTGTTAGGAAAAGACTATGCAAGTTGCGAGTGTTTCCATCTCCACGTTGCGGTGACAAGAGTAAATGTTCTGAATGGATGTTATGTATCTTGTCCATGCAAAGAAATGACACGCCGATGACCTTGCAAGTGTTTCGATCTCCGATGTTCATGCCAATGTCTTACAGTCCTATACATGCTCATGTCAAGGAGGGGATCGATGTTTGCGATGACAAGAGTGAATGTTAGGAATCTATGTTATTGATTTGTCCATGC